GGAAACAGAGAGCTCCTTGTTCCCTCTCCCTCTTCCTTGGGACTGTGTGGGGAGGAATGCGGCCGAGCCTGCTCTATAAGGAATTTTGATCTCCTTGATGATAATAAAGAGAAACTTTTGGGGGAAAGGGAATACCCAGTTTGAAAGACAGCTGGAGAAGCTGGCTTTGCATTTATAAACTGCAGCGATATCAGCTGTCTGTTTTCTAGTTCGTCTGTGCAGTATGGCCTAGATTAGGTATATATGTTTATTTTAATTTCCTCTTAGCCATGTTTTAGCTAACTTTCCAAGAAAGTCCATTTTCCCTGTGACCCTAAAATATTCTTCTGGTAGCAGACGAGTGTTTTAAAGATGTGTAGCGTGCCCTGGCTGGTGTAGTTCAGTGGACTGAGCACGGGCTGCGAACCAAAGTGTCGCAGGTTCGATTCCCAGTCGGGCCACATTCCTGGGTTGCAGGCCACTGCCCACAGCAACCGCACATTGATGTTTCTCTCTCTCTCTCTCTCTCTCCCCTCCCTCCCTCCCTTCCCTCTCTAAAAATAAATAAATAAAAATCTTTAAAAAAAAGATGTGCAGCGTTATGAGGTGTAATACCTACATCTGTGTAGTTCAGAACATTCCGTAAATAGCCTCTTGATTTTGAGGCCACGTGTGGAGACTCCATTGTTTTAGCCAGTTATTTTGTTCATTGTCACTGAACACTGCTTTCCCATGGGAAAGCATCTTTAGTCTCATGATGTCAGTGGAAAGTCATTCAGTTTACAAGGACCGTCTTCATCTTCAGTCTCTCAGAAATGCATAGACTGTGAATGGCTGGCTGCAGCAGGGTTCCAGTCTTCTAGGTGTCTTCTCAGATGTCTGCGAAGTAACCTTAAGTTGCCTTAGATAGTGTCAAGGTGAAAACGAAAGTAAACTGTAATTGTTGCTCAAGTGGTTATATGTCCCATCTCTTCAAGCTTTTGTATTTCTTTTCCATTAAAAGGGAAAATGGTTTCTGAAAAGTTAGAAATAATTATCTTTAGGATGACTTAGACAAGTATGCATTTTAACCGGCAGCAAAGAACTTACACTAGGACCCAAATATTTCCATTTTAAGAGTGTCCGTAATTAACAGGGCCCAGATAGGACCATGTGCATGATATATTAAGCATTTCCTGTGGGGATTCATTCGGTAAAAGAGATGTGAGTACACCTCCTGGGCCTGTGGATGGCTCAGCATCACCTCCTGTATGGTCATCCTGGGCTGGCGATGGTTTCCTCCTGGCTGAAGGCCAGAGAGTGGACCGCCCCTGGCAACCGGGCTGTTTCTCAAATGGCTTAGGTGTTTCCTTTTCATTAACTTAGCCAATGACGCAACTGGGTTATGTTACTTGAAACATGGAATTCTCCGCAGGCATCCTTCAGTACGAAGAGAAAAGCTTCTGGTTCGGTTGATATCTCGCAGAAAATTGCTCTGATCTTCTTGTTCACGCGCCGTGTTGGTCTGGGAAAGAGTTTTTGACTGATAAACATGTTTTTGTGATTGAAGTATTTATTTGTAAAGGACCTTTTGTAAAGTCAAATGTAACAGCTATATACATATAGCCCATTTTTTAAAAATTTACTTTGAGAGAGAGAGGAAGAAAGAGAGGAAGACATCAATGTGTGGGAGATACCTACATCAATTGGTTGCCTCTCGAATGCCCCAAACTGGCGACCAGCCCCACCACCCAGGCATGTGCCCTGACCAGGAATCAAACCTGCAACCTCTCGGTTAGCAGGCCAGCGCTCAATCCACTGAGCCACACCAGCCAGGTCCATACAGTCCATTTTTAAATTTCTAGTGTAATCATTTGCCCTAATTATTGAAGAATCAAAGTTTGAACTATTAAACAATCTCCACTTTAAGAAAACTGGGCATGTTAATGATTACTATCCTCCATACATTTATTTTTTTAAGTTATTATTAGATCCCATCTTGTGGAAAACCCCAAAGGAACTGAAACATACGTTTTCTTGTCTGAACTCCCACTGGTAACAATGAAGAGCATGAGGCAGTTAAAGATGTTCTTTGGTAATATTATTACCAGACTAAAGGGGTCTGTTTGCCTGTGTGCATCAGAGCCCACCCAAACACGGACAGGAGTTTGCAGCCGAGAAAGTAAGGGTTTCTTAGTCGAGGACGTGGCACCAATCCTGGAGTCACAGGTAAGCTGTGACTCAAAGACCTGGTGACGGCTTCCAGGAGTTGGATTATATAGCGGCAAGTTTATATGGGGCAAATCATTAATCGTGGTGGATAAAGGATTTGGGCCCTGGGCTCTGCTGATTGGTTGGGGCCTGGGTAGGGAGTGGCTGACCTTTGAGTCAGGTCCTCGCATCAGCCGCGACACTGCTCTGTCTGATTTTGTGAGGGTGTGGTCCTTGGGGTCGTTCTGCTTTGAAGTGCCTGGGGCTGAAATACAACCTGAGTCAAGATGTCCTCTGTAGCTCGACTGTAACTCGGCTTCTGTGATCAACAGACCTGTGACTTCGTTCTTAAGACAGTTGAAAGTTCCTTGCGGGAGAGGCTATGGAATGACAAGGAGGTAGAAACTGTAGTGAACAGATTGTAGAGAATCCGAGGTATTGAAATTCTGAGGTGCAGAGGGGGAAATTCAGTCAATGAAATAATTGCCAGCTGTAATAGAAGATCATTAATCTCTCTGCTCCCTTAGAGATAAGGTACCAAGTCTCTCTTGAGACCAGAAATCTTTGGGGCAGGAATGAGCGTGAGCAGAATAAAACACCACGGGGGCTACAGTGGCAATTCCATGCTGGAGTGTGAATTCCTTGAGGGCAAGGCCCATATTTTATATATAAATAAATTAAATGTATATATTTTATATATTATACATATATGTCATATCCTCCATAGCATTGAATTTAGGACCTTACCTCTTTTTTTTTTTAAAGATTTTATTTATTTTGTTTTTAGAGAGGGAGAAAGAGAGAGAGAAACATCAATGTGTGGTTGCTGGGGGTCATGGCCTGCAACCTAGGCATGTACCCTGACTGGGAATCGAACTTGCGACACTTTGGTTCTCAACCCGGGCTCAATCCACCGAGCTACGCCAGCCAGGGCCAGGACCTTACCTCTTGTTGTCTGATTGTTATTTGTCTTTCTTGCAATGTTGTCATCTTACTACTTACTTCAATAGAATGGACAAAATTGGTATTCTGACTTCTAGGATCAAGGCGTTGGATTCTCTCTTATTCCCTCGGGAAAGCTGTTGAAACTGAAGTTTGTAGAGCATTTCTCTTAGGCTGCTTCTTTGCATGTGTTGGAGAATGAGCCTCTTGGTTTCTGGCTTAGAAATCGAGGGAGGTGGCAAGGGGCCCAAACTGGGGAGCTGGGAGGTCCCAGCTATTCCTGGGGACGCATCCAGTACTGTGGCCTCGCTGCTGTTTGCGACATCTGGCAACGTAGGGGCACAGGCTGCGTTAATTGAATATGCCTGACAAAGCAGAACTGCAAATGCAGCAAATGTTCCCTGGAATATGGTTTTAAAGATTTTGCCAAGAGTTTTTGCACTCAGGTCAGTGATAGGACTCAGCTGGGTTCAGGGCCAGATAGTTTTTTAAAGGACGTACACCCTCGGCTGTACTTGGACAAAATACGTATGAAGATGACTCGAACGGACAGATGTTTGCTCTATTTTTACATTTCTGTGGGAAGAAATGTCAGGAAGCCGCTTTCTTTAACTGAAATCTCTCCGTGCAATTTCAGGGGTTTTTTTTTCCTCCTTGTGAACAATTTTTAGAAATGATACAAGTTATTACAGAATCACCCAGCTCTTCGCTGCCCGAATGGCTTCTGCTGGTAGTTAACCCTCCCTGGCCTGGACAGCACACGGCTCCTCAGCAGCTGCAGTTAACAAGGGAGGAATTGTTTTGTTGCACGTGTCTTTTGATTCCTTGGTTTCAAATAACAGTTTTGCTCCTGTTGGTTTAATTTTCATCTCTTGCTCATTCTCTTTTTTCTTTCTATGAGAACCCATTAAGTGAGGTAGGACACATATTTTGGTTCTCCCATTTTCCCTTTTTAAAATATTTACGTGAAGGTAATACCTGTGCACAGAAGGGTTTGGAAGGACTGAAGGGCACTCTTTCCCGGGTTCCTTCCCTGAAATGGTACATTGCCTGCAGTCAGAATAGCTGAGAACTACGGAGAGCTCACGGCACGGTAGGTGGGCGCTGTGCCGGGCTCAGGCAGAGACCTTTTTGACTCCCTGCACTGTGGTTGGGAAGATGGGACCCCAGCACCCCTAACCCACTCTGGAGAGCTGAGACTGTGATAACCAGGAAGGGTTAAGGGTGGGAAAGGGTTAAGGGTTAAGGGTTAATGGCTGGACTGCCAATGTAGCCACATCTGGGTATGGTAAAAAACAAAACAACAACAACAACAACAAAAACCCCAGCAGTTTGTTCAGAAAATTAGAATGTAGCCACTTGCTCACTAATGATGCACACCGACACTGTGCCTTCAGCTCTGGCAGGTGACACACGACATGACCCCCAGACCTGGTCACCGGGACTGGGCATTGTTCTTTGTGTAAATCAGCTGGAGGTTATTGTGAGGTTGTGGTTTTCTCTAGAGTGAGTGTATTTATTTCAGAAAAGCATCTTATTTTATCGTCAGAACTTTTCAGGAGGCACCAACAAAATCTGTCGTAGGGGAACGTATAATCTTTACAGTGAATAGATTCCTCTAAATATTACTAATTTCTCTTTTCCATGCAAAAAAAAAAAACCCCAATAAGCACTGTATTGCAGGTGGTTGGAGATGTATGTAGCATACATAATCATTAACTTCAAGGAATGCCGAAGGCAGGGCTAATGCGCAATTGAGAACTGGCAAGAACAGAACTGGTTTTGCTATTGTTGCCTATTTCCACAGCCCCCTTGACAGCCCTTCCCCCAGCCTCTGCCCCAGAACTGCGGCGGATCCCTATAACTAACCAAGACCTGTTTTTTTTTAGGTGCCCACTGATGGCAATGCTGGCCTGCTTGCAGAACCCCAGGTGGCCATGTTTTGTGGCAAACTGAACATGCACATGAATGTGCAGAATGGGAAGTGGGAGCCAGATCCATCGGGGACCAAAACGTGCATTGGCACCAAGGAGGGCATACTGCAGTACTGCCAGGAGGTAAGGCCCTGCTGGTGGCCGTGTCGGACCACGTGCTTTTACTCATTTTTTAACTTACATGCTTGCATTTTATCTCTTACAATGAAAAATCTTCGTTCCTAATGATTCACTACACCATTAATAATATGTACTTGCTTTACTTCACCATATGCGTAAATGTTTTTAAAAATTCTGTAATATCGTAACCATCGTTAAAACAACTAAGATTTCAGACATCTCGGCATGTCCTTTTATCTTCAGAATATATCTCACTACAGCTGTGCAAGGTATTGTGTGCAAAAGAAACTAGAATTAAGTTTCTCTATTTATGTTATCAAGTGGATATATTTAGTTCCTTTATTTTTGTTTGTGTTGTTTTTCCCTCCTTATTAATTTCCCTTTAATGTAAAGTGTTTACACTGTTAAAACATTGAACCAGTAAAAGGTGATACTCAGAAATGCCATTTGTCATCTGTCCTCTACTGATAAACAGTTTCATGGTCCTCGATTTATTGAGGTCCTTCTTGCAAAACAGAATATTTTTTTCTTTTCTTTTATAACCAAGGTGGCTTACAGTAAGCACTGTTCTGCTCTTTGCTTTTTTTACTTAAATTTCATCCTTGGTATAATTCTTCCTACTTTCCTTTCTGTTATTGTACTGTGGATTCCTTCCTTATTAATTCAGTTTAAAATAACTGGAGTCCCAGGCACTTTATTCCTTACTCAGTAGACACTTACTGGTTCTAAGATATATGGTTATTTGTGTTTTAAGCACATTTAAGGGAATTAATCTTATGCAGTTTAGAAAAGCAAAATCCCTTACTCTTCATATCATATAGCAAGATAGCCTGGCAATATTTTTTGTTGCTATAATCTTTTATGTACTAGAAAATTTCTTTTAGCCTTCTTGGCTCCAAAATGATTATGTAATGAATTACATATGATGCATATGCATAGATAGATACATATATAGATATGCAGACACATAAAAGTATATATACACCCAGACACATAGGTATATATAATTTTAAGGTAGCATTCTAGGAAAAAACAATCTCTAGGCCCTTGCCAAGTAACTCAGTTGGTTAGAGTTGTCTCGAAATGCCAAGGTTGTGGGTTCGATCCCTAGTCAGGGCACATACAAGAATCAACCAATGAATGCATAAATAAGTGAGACAATAAATCCATGTCTCTCTCTCTTTCTAAGTCAATAAAAAAAAGAAAGGACAGTTTCTAAATATTAACTTTCATGTTTTGAGAATTAACAAGAGCAGAACTATTTTTTGGTATAAATACATTATAACATTTTATTCCATATCAGGTAATTTTTATCTTGAAGGAATATGGATTGTGATGTAAAAAGGTAATTCTTTATATTTAAGTAGAAATAACTAGTATAAGTGATATTTATATGTCTTACTTATAAACATTCTGCTTGTAATTAGGGATTGATAATTAATCCACTTTTGCCCCTTTAGGGCATTTCTGAAACATACTCTTTGGAAATAACTTTCACCTTCTCCTGAAGAGTCCCTCTAGTATAATGTTACACATGATATGATTTTGGCAAGTTGAAACTCCACGTGTGCATGCTTATAGGTGTTTGACACCACTTCATTTTTCTGGGTATAAATACAGATTGTGCATTCTGAATGCTAAATAGAATTTTTTTAAAGAAAGGCTAGAACTCAAATTTAGTTAATGACATTGACCAAATCATCCTTTCTCTTGAATGGCTCTTTAGACATGCATATCATAGTTTGCATTTAAGTTTCTCCTCCCTTTTATTATGAACAATCAAATGTTTTTGCATTTGTGTGATGATTCTATAAAACTTGCTCTTCTTGACTCTGGGAATGACCCTGACTCCTGCTCCACTTAGAGATCCCACTAATGCCTGGGCAGCCTCACTTCCTCTTTTCCTCATTGTTTGTCCCAGAGCTGAGCCACTGAGTGGTCCTTCCCAGCCCCAGATTGCCAGATCATCAGTGACCATTGGGTGAGAGGGGAGGAAAGTGAGCGTCTTTGGTTGTTTCTCCTTTGTTTCGCAATTCTGGCATTGTCTGCCTTGCTCAGCTCACCACCCACGGAGGTCTTACAGAATGATGCGCACAGGCCAGTCTTAAGATGGTCATTAGACACACAGTAGACAGGAGAAGTTACGGAAGGGCCAGAACATCAGGTCTTATTAGCCCTTTTAATGAATTTGATCTTTATTCCGTAACAACACGAAGTCACTGACGGTATTTTTTTAAAAGAAAGAATAACTACAAATTTACGTTTTGAACAGAGAAAGTCGCCCTCCTGCTTTGTCACTCTGTGCCCATACCTAGTTTCTCATTCCCATCGGGGCCCCCCTGCCGGGGCCCGCGCCCTGTGCTGTGCAGCGCAGTAGTCACCAGCCCCATGTGTGTGCGTGGGACGCCCTGGCGTGTGCTGCACGCGTGCATTAGGTGCCGTATTTCAAAGATTAGCACGGAAAGAAAGTTAAAATGCCACATTAATGATTTATGTCGATTTCATATTGAAATATTCCATATATAGTGTTAAAATAGTATGCATATGTGTTACTAAATTGTAAATATCTATGTTATTAAAATGAATTTCACCTTTTTCATTTTACTTCTTAATGTGACTACTATGGAATTTAAAATGACGTGGGCATATGTTTCCATTATATTATGTTGTCACTGAACTGTGCTGCCCACCCCCCACCCCCCACTACCACACGGCACCCATGACTCTGGGCTGTAGGGGTCTTCGGATGTCTTTTTTAATTTTTTTAAAGATTTTATTTATTTATTTTTAGAGAGGGAAGGGAGGGAGATGAGAGAGAGAGAGAGAGAGAGAGAGAGAGAAACAGAGAGAGAGAGAGAGAAACATCAATGTGCGGTTGCTGGGAGTCATGGCCTGCAACCCAGGCATGTACCGTGACTGGGAATCGAACCTGCGACACTTTGGTTCGAAGCCTGAGCTCAATCCACTGAGCTACGCCAGCCAGGGCCGGGTCTTCGGATGTCTTGATCTGACAGGTGGAAGAGGGAAAGTGGAGAGACCCCCCTCCCCCAGGTGGTTGGGAGTCAGGCTTGTATGGGTCCTTTTTAATACATTTTTCATTAAAAATATTTCAGTAGAACACAAGACCTGCTCCTAAAAGGGATCTAAAGGGAGAGAAAGGTTTGTAAAGTAATTTTAGCACTTGAGTAACTGACAGTGGCGATGACGGCACACGGCCGAGGTGAAAACGATGCTAGTACTTTTTTTATTGAGCATGAACCAAGTGTCAGCTACCTTGTCCAGTGCGCGCTCTGGTTATGCCCTTATCCTTGTAGGGTGGAATCCTGGGAAGGAACCTGGGGTAATCGCAACAGTTTAGGGGAGCAGAGGGAAAGAACGCCATCCATGGAAGAGGAGTCGTGGCTGGAGACCTGGGACCAGACCTAGGAGATGCTGTGTGCTTGGAAGTCAAGCCAGGTTGATTCGTAAATGGGGGAGGTGACGAGAGTTCAGGTGTGATGCACATCAAATGTGGTGGAGTTACAGTTTTCAACAAGGCAAAATCAGGACTCTCTTGCAAAATGAACTCACAACAAAGATTTTATTCAGCGCGTTAATTAATGAGGTATCTTGTTAGAGATTAAAACTGGTCCGGTTTGACTTTGGAGAGATAGAAAGTCTTTCCCAACAAACTTCACTCACAGAGCTACGAACACTCACCTGATTTATGTTGCATGGGGCAGGAAACACGGGCACTGCCCTCTGTCCCTGCAGTGTTCACCCTCCCAGAGCCATAAAATAGCCCAGCCAGACAATCAGAGGAACACACCCTGTAGAATCAGACACTCTTTTCCTGGAAGACAACGCCTGATTTTACTGCTGGGGTACCCAGTAAACTTCTTTTGTCCCTTTCTAAGAAATACGTCTAAGTTTTGGACATATTCTTCTAATGAGGCAAATAAAAGGTCATTGTTGATCTTTGGGATAACCGTTTCAGTGGAGTAGAAGTCAAATTGCTGCGGATTACAGGAGGAGTACATGAATGGGCAGTGAAGATATCTGTGGATTCTTTAAGGAAAGAACTAGAAGCCAAGAACTCGAGGGCAATTCAAGGAAAAGGGAAAGGCTTGGTTTTTTGTTGTGTCTTTGTTTTTTAAAGGGAAGGACCTTAAGCTAAAGGAAACTGAAACTTAATTGTGGGAAGACCGGATGTCGGTCAGAAGAAAACTAGGCTCCGGTATCTGGAGAGAAATGGGGTCCAGTGGATAAGTGATTGGCTGAGTCTTGACAAAGGAGAGGGGAGAAAAGGAAAGAAAAAGAAGGGGAAGGGTGGGGAAATAGTGAGGGAGGGTCAATGATATAGCGTGTGGTAGTGTATAGAATTTCAGTGAAGACATCCAGAAAGTGATTCCTCAGAGAGTGGAGCTAAGACTCGGTGCTGCCAGGAATTTCTCTGTTGGGGTCTCTCTCGTTTTCTGCTGATCCCTTCACCTTTAGGGCCACCTCCTGCTGAGGTGGCCTTCCTCTAGGAGGCCAGGAGAGGCGGCAGCCAGTAGCTCTGGGAGTGTGTCATCCTAGCCCAGCCTCCCAACTGCATTATGCCCGAGTGCCGTGTAACTCCAGGAAGGGATTCTGGTTGGCCCTGCTTTTGGTCACACATCTGCCTTTAGCACAAATACTGGGACTGGCCCGCATTGGCCAAGTGGGTGTGTGGCCTATTTGACAGCCGGCTCTGAGCCGTATGCTGGGGGAGACGGGCTCTTGGCAGAAAAGGGATGAAGTGAAGATGTCATGGGGCAAAGTAGAACTGTGAGCACAGTCTGACACAGTGGGGTTAGAAACACGGTGCGTTAGAAAAGTTTCACAGGTTGGAGAGCGGGTAGCTGGGGAAATTTGTCCTGCCCCTGGCTTAAGCCAGCTTTGGGGAGAGTGTGCTTGCAGAGGAAGGGGGGATGGATGTTTATTCAGAACACTGAAACAGTGTTTGACTTTTCTGTTGAATGGTGCATCCTGAACTATATAGA